GGCGGCGACGGGGCGGCGACGGGGCGAGAGGCGGGGCGGCGGCGGCGATTGGACCGAGAGGCAGGCGGCGTGCGGGGAACGAGCCTGGAGCGACGCGGGGTAGGTCCGGCCCAGGATAAGTCCCAATAAGCTCCTCCCTGAGAGTCTTATTTGATAAGTCCCAAATCACCACAATAAGTCCCAATAAGTCCCTTGTGTTTCGTTTAGGTGGGACTTATAGGGACTTTTTTAAGTCCCTAAACCAATAAGTCCCTGGAAACAAACACCCTCTAAGTCCCTGGAAACAAACACCCTCTAAGCTTTCCATCTTATAGTGGTATTTAATAATATTTTCTCTAGAATCCTTTTGTTGATAAGAAACTAGTCATGACATAGTGAAATACAACAGAATCCTAGTTTAGTCAAAATCATAATGCATACCTTCTAGAGTGCAGTTATCCTTGTCAATATCAGCAACATCAGCACATTGATCAAGAGTTTCTGCTTTGGATAGTTCCTCGTATACAATATGTGGGTAAATCTTGCTTGTCGAATCAACCCACTACAAAACACAATCAAATCAAGTTACAAACGGCCAACTAAGTGAAAGGATTATGATATAGATTCACAGTACGTACCAAAATCAAAACATACACATAAACGTTCATCATAAACAGTACCTTGGGTAGTTCGGAGGCCCCCCTGATTGATGATGTCCTCCATCCAACAATGTCTTAATCAATATCAGTTATGGAAAAACCTCAAGAAAAAGCTTACTTTTACAGGCTTATTTAAGGATTAAAGGATACGGTCGTAACCAACATTGGAGTATGCAACTCTTCGCTGAAATGCTTGCAAAGCAGATCTACAATAAGAAATCCGTAAGCATGAAAATGTACAAGTATTCACAATCCAAGCACATAGAGGCAGTTGGCAGACAAGCATACATGAACCGTAGGTCCTCACAATCATCCACCATAAGTTGCAACAACGGAGGCTTTCCATCATCATTATCAGTAAGAAATAGGTGCTTGCCGGTTCTTCTGAATATGAAGTGAATGATGCAGCACGCAAACTTTTCTATCGCAGTAACTCCAAAAAGGAAAGGAACCTGCATATTGGTTTTAAAAAAACATCAACGTAAGATGGAAATATTATACAATTTCTCCTGTTCTGAATACAGTAACATAAGATAAAATTAAACCACTACCTGTTTGTTTCCTCTAGAACCAAGATGTGGTGATGCAACAGTTATGAAGTTGACTGCATCAAGCCCATGTATATTGCCTCTGTTGCTGTCTCTCAAACTTTGAGGAGAATTTTCAAGTGATTGTCCAGGAGGCCTATAAAGTCTTCCGATGGCATATCTTGCAACCAATCCTCCAACGGAATGCGCAACAAAAGATATCTTTGTTATCTGTGGTCTTTTGTTGATTTCTTCGATAACCTGGCTTGCTAGATTTTTGTCATTAAATTGGGGGAATGAAGACATAAAGCACAGAAAGGAAGATGAAAAATGGAAGATGCGTAATGAAAAACTAACCTCTTGTGCCAACCGTTCACCCATCACATCAATGCCATCTAAAGTTAGCTTGTGCATGTTGCTGTTACTACCTACAGAATTAACATATCATTGGACTACCCACAAGGAAATATTCATAACCCAGAAAGAACTTCCATACTGTAAAAGAAATAGGCGCCGAATGACTTCAATTGCAATAATGGAAGTACAGGAGAGAGGAAATCTATTGTTATCTGCCACAATAGTTTTTTCTTATTTCATGGTGAGATTATGTGATCTATGTGTGGTAATGCAATAGCTCACTAAACTTAACAGTTGACACCAATAAGAAAGGCGATGAACACGCAGGAGTGAGTAGACCTTACAATGAACTATGACTCTGCCTTCTAGCAACTTATGGAATTGCTCGGCTCCATATTTCCAATCGGCTGTGCTGTACGAATAGCGAGAGAATTATCAATACAAGGGGGAAATGCCAAAGTAGCAACAGCTTGATCATTCATAGTTGCACTATAAATGTGTGGAGGCATTGGGTGAAATAGTAAAACTTCTTAAATTCAGCAAGTTGGGCACTCTGAATTCATTGATACAGGGACCTAATTCTGCCTGCTCTGCTGAAAATGCCAAACCACCGAATCCGTGTGAACCACATGGCATGAAGCGATGCCCCATCTCGATCTAGTCTGCTACCATGATATTCTATAAGTCGTCAAATTATTCCATTTTATTGTCAAAAAGTAAATATAAACTTGGAGCTCGCCCATGCTCATCTCTTACTATACCAACCAGAATTCAATATGTTGAAGCAAAAGCATATCAGATAACTATCGATCGCAAATCCGCAAAGCTTTCGAGGCAACCGAAAGGTCCGCATAGAAAGGAAAAAAACGTACGTGTTACTACGAGCATCGAGCAATTTAGGAAGCCAAATTACTTTTCTTTCCTGAAAAGTGAAGCCAAATCACGGGAGAAAACAGAGAACAAGATCGACGCCGGGGCGCCGCAGGAGGCCCGCAAGCTTAGTAAGTATAGGCACGCACCTCCCGATGATCCCGTGGACCATGATCACCAGGTGGTCGGCCCCGCCTACCGCCGGCGCCGGCGCTGCCGCCTCCTCCTCGGGCGCCGCCGCCTCCCGGCAGTCTCCGCCTGCCAGGTCGCCCATTTAACTAGCCGCCCGCCCGCCCGCGCAACACGAACGCACGCACACGCCGCGCGCAAAGGGGGCCGGAGGTGGGTGGAAGGGATAGAGGGCAGAGGCGCTGCTCGGGGCCGGGGAAAGGGGCAGAGTGTCTTATAGGGCGGGCGAATCGCGACTCCGCGTGTACGCCAACACGAAACGGGCGAGAGCGGAGACGGCTTGTGATTGGAGGCGGAGGGTGACAGGTGGGGAAGACGATGCTGACGGGGACCGCCTGTCTGGGACGAGCGGAGCGTTGGGGGTAGGCGTGGCGGCCTAATCCGAATGGCAGAACGCGCCGCCGGAGAACCATGGAAGCAAGTGCAACCACCGGCAGACGGCGGAGGATGGTCGACAGAATCGCCTGCTTCTACATGTGGTGCTTGGCTTTATCTTCTGTTTTTCTTTTTCTTTTTTGGGAAGACCTTCTTTTCTGATCTGTCTTCAAATTTACCCGTGAACATAAACAAATTCTTTAGTCGTCCAATAAAAATGATAAACAAAATTGAGCACACAATTACCATGATCCACAAACATAGAAACATGGTATTGTTTTTTTTGGAAATGTCCCAAGGCCATGTATTAAATAAAATCAGGCATTCCGGCAAAAAAAACTCAGCTCTTACAAGAATATGAAATTGCAGGCAGGTCCTCAAAGAAATCAGTGTTGTCTTCCTTTTGCATCCACTGGTGGCACGTCGTGAGTAGACCTCGTTGCCGTCTCTAGGATTCTTTCTTACCGGAACAACCTTGTTGAAACCTAAGAGACTGTAAAAGCAATAGTTGGGTTGTCGTCAATGTAGAATAGAAATACCGGCAATCGCGACCTGGGAAGATCATTTTCCCAGAGAAGCTAGCATCCAGGAGGGTCAGGCGATAATCTCAACTCCAAAGGGGACACAAAACTCACAAGTTCACCGAGGTCATATGCAACTAAGCTTCATCAGACAGAGATAGAACTTGAGAACAAAAACATGCAACAACGTCGTCCCCACCGCAGGATGTTGTCGTGGACAAACACTAAGCACACAAGAGCACACACCTGTTATCGACAACATCCTCCAAGGAAGGTCATCGACATGGGATAGACCAAGGTACCATTAGTCCCATCATCATCCTGCCCCAACTTCGTCGGGCGGTGAGGAAGTCAAAACCCCTATGGAACACGAACTGGAAACGCAAATCTAATGTTCTTCTGCCCTCCTTTCGCCAATACACCCACGGCAATGCCGATGTAGCCGCCTCTTGCTATGTAAACCCTAGAAAAATGATCTGTTATATGCCAAAATAAGTCTATTTAACGGTGGTCCTGAGAACATAATTTAGTTTCTCCCATGATTATAAAACAAAATCTTCTTTCATGTCCAAATTATATGGCTCACATTTTTCTATATGCTGAATCTTTTAGTCATACTAAGAGAAATAAATCTTATTTGATTATCTCTCTTTTCTATCCCAACAATCACCTAGGTGGCACTGTTAAGGTAAGCATAATTCTCCGCTCGTTTGAACCTGCAATATGTTGGTGCTTCGTTGGCCAATGCTTTTGCCTTAAAAGGGTTGTCAAACTTTATTTGGTACTACATAGTGTCTCATCGGTGTGAAGTGTAGTTAAAGCTAGCGATCTATTTTCCAATAGTCAATATAGCAAGATGATACAATTGCACTGAATGCATGCCCAATCTCATCATAACATGTTGCACACGACCAACACAACCAAAAAAATATATGACGTTTTACATCATAGAAATAAGGCCGTGCCGGGCTAAGATGAGGTAGTTCCTAGTCGAAGAATACACTGTCATCCATGATGAGACAAAATCTCTCTAGAGTCTAGACATATACTCCAGCCGGATAGATGCCTATGTCTTATATAGAATACACAAGTACAAAAGCACCATGTACATGCATGAATAACCATTAGGCAGTGAGCGACCAATGCTTAAACCATTAGCGCACAGAACAAATGCATCTTTTGGTGATGCCAACACTCGTTTCTTCCACCTGCGTGTAAACCATAGACGAAGGAAGAACTTTATTCACCGCCTTAGGCACAACAACGGATGGGTTATTTCTCACGACCACAAGAAATCCATTATTCAAAACCACTTCTCTGAGGTCACAAGACGCGGTCAGCCACGCAGCATCGACATCAACTGGGACAACATCCCGGTGCCAGCTTATGATCTCTCCGAGCTAGGAGCTGCCTTCACGGAGGAAGAGGTGAAAAAGGCGATTTTTGATCTCCCCGGTGACAAAGCACCGGGATCGGATGGCTACTCCGGGGCCTTCTTCAAAGAGTGTTGGGAGATCATAAAAGATGATGTCTTGCTTGCTACCAATCACTTTTCCAATCTGCGCTCCACGAACTTAAACTGGCTCAACTCGGCGAACATTGCTCTCATCTCAAAGAAGGATGGAGCATAATGCATCTCGGATTTTCACCCCATTAGCCTCATCCACGCCATTGCGAAGATCATTGCCAAGATGATGGCCAACCGTCTGCCCCCCCACATGCATGACCTTGTCTCCAATGCCCAGAGTGCATTCATCAAAAAGAGAAGCATCCATGACAACTCTTTGTTCGTCAGAAACTTGGCAAGAAAGTTTCATCGCAACCGCTTGTTGGGGAACGTAGTAATTTCAAAAAAATTCCTACGCACACGTAAGATCATGGTGATGCATAGCAACGAGAGGGGAGAGTGTTGTCCACGTACCCTCGTAGACCGTAAGCGGAAGCGTTATGACAACGCGGTTGATGTAGTCGTACGTCTTCACGATCCGACCGATCCAAGTACCGAGCGTACGGCACCTTCGAGTTCAGCACACGTTCAGCTCGATGACGATCCCCGGACTCCGATCCAGCAAAGTGTCGGGGATGAGTTCCGTCAGCACGACGGCGTGGTGACGATGATGATGTTCTACCGACGCAGGGCTTCGCCTAAGCACCGCAACGATATGACCGAGGTGGAATATGGTGGAGGGGGGCACCGCACACGGCTAGGGAACAATCACGAAGATCAACTTGTGTTGTTATGCCTAGAGGTGCCCCCTGCCCCCGTATATAAAGGAGCAAGGGGGGAGGGGGCGGCCGGCCTAGGAGGGGGCACGCCAAGGGGAGTCCTACTCCCGGACTCCCACCGGGAGTAGGACTCCCTCCTTCCTTGTTGGAGTAGGAGAAGGGGAAAGAGGGGGAGAGGAAGAAGGAAAGGGGGTCTGCGCCCCTTGTCCAATTCAGACCAGAGGGGGGGCGCAGGCCTCCTTCCTTTTGGCCTCTCTCATCTATTCCCATATGGCCCAATAAAGCCCATATACTCCCCGGCGAATTCCCGTAACTCTCCGGTACTCCAAAAAATACCCGAATCACTTGGAACCTTTCCGAACTCCGAATATAGTCGTCCAATATATCGATCTTTACGTCTCGACCATTTCGAGACTCCTCGTCATGTCCCCGATCTCATCCGGGACTCCGAACTCCTTCGGTACATCAAAACTCATAAACTCATAATATAACTATCATCGAAACTTTAAGCGTGCGGACCCTACGGGTTCGAGAACTATGTAGACATGACCTAGAACTATTCTCGGTCAATAACCAACAGCAGAATCTGGATGCTCATATTGGCTCCTACATATTCCACGAAGATCTTTATCGGTCAAACCGCATAACAACATACGCTGTTCCCTTTGTCATCGGTATGTTACTTGCCCGAGATTCGATCGTCGGTATCCAATACCTAGTTTAATCTCGTTACCGGCAAGTCTCTTTACTCGTTACGTAATGCATCATTCCGTAACTAACTCATTAGCTACATTGCTTGCAAGGCTTATAGTGACGTGCATTACCGAGAGGGCCCAGAGATACCTCTCCGACAATCAGAGTGACAAAACCTAATCTCGAAATACGCCAACCCAACATGTACCTTCGGAGACACCTGTAGAGCTCCTTTATAATCACCCAATTACGTTGTGATGTTTGGTAGCACACAAAGTGTTCCTCCGGTAAACGGGAGTTGCATAATCTCATAGTTACAGGAACATGTATAAGTCATGAAGAAAGCAATAGCAACATACTAAACGATCAAGTGCTAGGCTAACGGAATGGGTCATGTCAATCACATCATTCTCCTAATGATATGATCCCGTTAATCAAATGACAACACATGTCTATGGTTAGGAAACATAACCATCTTTGATTAATGAGCTAGTCAAGTAGAGGCATACTAGTGACGTTATGTTTGTCTATGTATTCACACATGTATCGTGTTTCCGGTTAATACAATTCTAGCATGAATAATAAACATTTATCATGATATGAGGAAATAAATAATAACTTTATTATTGCCTCTAGGGCATATTTCCTTCAGTCTCCCACTTGCACTAGAGTCAATAATCTAGATTACACAGTAATGATTCTAACACCCATGAAGTCTTGGTGTTGATCATGTTTTGCTCGTGGAAGAGGCTTAGTCAACGGGTCTGCAACATTCAGATCCGTATGTATCTTGCAAATCTCCATGTCTCCCACCTGGACTTGGTCTCGGATGGAATTGAAGCGTCTCTTGATGTGCTTGGTCCTCTTGTGAAATCTGGATTCCTTTGCCAAGGCAATTGCACCAGTATTGTCACAGAAGATCTTCATTGGTCCCGATGGACTAGGTATGACACCTAGATCGGAAATGAACTCCTTCATCCAGACTCCTTCATTTGCTGCTTCCGAAGCAGCTATGTACTCCGCTTCACATGTACATCCTGCCACGACGCTTTGTTTAGAACTGCACCAACTTACAGCTCCACCGTTTAATAAAAACACGTATCCGGTTTGCGATTTAGAATCATCCGAATCAGTGTCAAAGCTTGCATCGACGTAACCATTTACGACTAGCTCTTTGTCACCTCCATATACGAGAAACATATCCTTAGTCCTTTTTAGGTATTTCAGGATGTTCTTGACCCCTGTCCAGTGATCCACTTCTGGATTACTT